TGCTGCTGCTGCTGATTGCTTTCCCGTCCCTCCAGCAGTAGAACCCGCTGCATTCTCAGCTCTAGCACCTCCTGCTGCTGCTGCTGCTGCTGCTGCAGTGGATTCTGCGCATAGAGCAGCAGCAACAGCAGTGAGAGGAAGGTGGCGTAGGGGTACTGCAGCAGGAGCTAGGGCCCCCCCCTCAAGGGCCAGCCGCAGGTTGTGTAGAGAGAAGCAATGCATGAAGGAGAGGCCCTTGCCTGCCTCGGCTATATGTCGCCCCACGAGCTGTTTCACAGAGAGCAGACGAGGGAAAGCTGCTGCTGCTGCTGCTGCTGCTGCTGCATCTGGAGATTCTTCTGCTGCTGCTGATGCTGATGAGGAGGATTCTGCTGCTGATGATGATGATGCTGCTGCTGTGCTTGATGCTGCTGTTGATGCCGTACCGCTGCTGCTCGTTGATAAAGAAAACGGAACACCTCGATCCCCTGCATCCTGCCCCATCTGCTGCTGCTGCTGCTGCTGCTGCTTCTGCTGCTGCTGCTGCTCCTGTTGCTTCGGTTGTTGGTTCGTTCCTGCTGCTCCGGCCGCAGCTATGCTTTGTCTTCGCTGCAGTGCAACTGCAGCAGAACCTTCCGCCTCAGCAGCTGCTGCGGCAACATCTGCTGCTGCGGCAGCATCTGCTGCTGCAGCAGTATCTTCTACTGCAGCAGCCGCATCTTCTGCTGCTGCTGCTTCGTCTTCTGCTGCTACAGCTTCTGCATCTGACTCCTGTGAAGACGGAGGGGGGAGACACACGAAAGGAGACAGCTGGTGAGAGGAGATAGTTATTGCTGCTGCGTTGGGACGCTTGACACTGCTGCTGCTGCTGCCGCTGCTGCTGCTGCTGCTGCTGCTGTTTGTTTGGCCTGCACTGACACTGCTGCTGCTCAAAGGGCTTCGCAGACTTGACTGCGGGCTGCAGCAGTAACTGCTGCCGCTGTCGCTGCTGCTGCTGCTGCTGCTGCTGCCCGCCGGGGATTGGTGCTGAAGCCCAGCAGCATTCAAACCCAAAGGCAGCACAGCAGCAGCAGCAGCAGCAGCAGTATCATCTGCTGCTGCTTCTGCTGCTGCTGCTGAATCGCGTGAGGCAGCCGTGCCCAAGGAAAATTGAATAGGTACACGGTTGGCTTGCTCCTCAACAGACTCAAGCTGCTGCTGCTGCTGCTGCTGCTGTTGCTGCTGCTGTTCGTCCTCGTCCTTCACGACCTGCTGCACCCCACAGCTCTGGGCCTCCTGCTGCAGCAGCAGTTGCTCGCTTGTTTGCTGCTGCTGCTCAGATCGCTGCTGCATCTCCTGCTGCTGCAGCGCCTCCTGGAGGACTTCAAGCAGCTCGGTTCCTGGCTTTGCTGCCGGCTGCAGCTGCTGCTGCTGCGGGTTTTGCTGCAGTTGCTGCTGAGGCAACAAGCTATTCTGCTGTTGCTGCTGCTGCAGCAACGACTGCTGCAGCTCCTCGAGGGACTGTAGAGGAGATAATGGAGGTACGGGGACCAGCTGCTGCTGCTGCTGCTGCTGCTGCTGCTGCTGCTGCTGCGGTTCAGCCGGAGCTGCGAATGCCTCAGCAGCAGCCGCGGAAGGGCCTATATCCTGTTGCTGCTGCATCTGCTGCAGCTGCTGCAGCTGCTGCAGCTGCTGCAGGTCGTCTGCGTAGGGGAGAAAGAGCGGGGAGGGATAGAGGGGGGCCCTCAGGTCACAGAAGGCAGCAATGCTGCTGCAGAGAGCAGCAAAGGCGACGGGGGTGCTGAAGGCTGTAACAGCCATCGTAGCGGGAGAAATAACATTCCAAGGCTCTGCTGCTGCTGCTG